TAAAATACGTTACGGAATATATTATCTTAACAAATGCGACTGATGAGGTTTTAATTCCAGCCAATTAGTATTAGTATCAGGCATAAGATATGTCGTTTTAAAACATACAGGTTTGATCTCGTGCTAAGAGGCTTTAAACGAAGTAGTTTTGATAGGTTTTATTATTGCTTTGAGGCAAACTACAATAAATTCCTATTAGTTTTATGACAAGATTTAAGAGAAGCTGTGACAGCATTTATAAAGGTGGGCCCTTTATGTTTTGAGAAGGTTGTTTAATTGTTTTAATGATATTATTAAAGTATGATAGTTTTAAAAAGGCATTCAAAAATAGGCTGTAACAACCTCCTGTAGCTAACAATAAAGCTGATAATGTTATTTGGGCTCCATATAAATTTCATAATATTCGAGTGATATGATCATACTTTCCTCCATTTTCTGATGCACGCTGATACTACACAAAAGTTCAGGCTTTCCAGCTCGGCTCCTATATACATTTCATCTATAGTAATTAGATGAAGATGCGAAAGAAGGAATAAGAAGTTAGTGCTCCTGATCATTATTGCTCCTTGGAGAACAAAAAGACAAGAAAATAACGAGGTTGAGGAGATAGAAGTTATATTGTCGGCTTTTATAACGTATCACTCGAGGAATCCAGATAAAAAGAAAGAGATATAACACAGTCAATGAGACGTTAACAAAAACTTCGTGATACAAAGCTGGATGAGTGCAGATTTTTCATTTCAGGATTCGGACCCTGATTGAAATCCAGTTAACCGATCTTGAAGAAGGTGAACGATAGTTGAATGTATAATGACGGGTTTTTATTCATTTCATTCCATCTTATTTTGAACGAGTCAGAGTGGCAGAGATATATTCCTCCAAGTAATCATGAAACTCAGTTTCTGTTGATAGATTCGTCAATAGTTTAATATTTTTGGGAATCTTCCACAACATATAGCAAGTAACACTTCTACAAGGTGACTTTGGAATGGGTCCAGATATTCCAGAAACAAATGATGGTCGACGTTTACCATCAAATAGTATCAATAAAATCAGAACAATTCAATTTTTCTGACTCAAATAATTTTTACGAAATTCCTCTTTATCCAAAATTCGACATTATAGCAGTTGTGTCGTCATCTCTGTATACATTTCAATGACGAAGTTGAAATCACCCCACTGCCGCCAGAAGATTGAATTTTTCTTTCAGGCTCTCTGCTATGAGAATTCAAAAACGCAGTGACACTTTGGGATTAATTATTTGATTCATCCTCATCGCACGTAATTCATTGTTATTTACCTAACAAGTGCAACAGGTAGTACTTTTTCGCAAGAGGTACACTATTTTTTTCCACTAGTGTTTTTGTCCATATCTTGAGAAAAACATTATTTTCGATAAGAAAGATTCCATAACAATGCTATGAAATGACAATTAAGACAAAAAGTTACGAAGATCAATAAGTGAGTCTTGAATATCCTCAAATTCAACAATACAAAAGTCACAAATGATCTAGAAAAGTGAATTTACCGACTCCTCGAATAACATAGACAGTATTTTTTCAACACCTGTTCAAAAATCCATTCTATTGGAATTATTGTTGGTCACTGATTGTTGTTCAGAATGATTTCGACATGTTCGAGAGGAAATAAAAAATCTGTTTCTGAATAGAGTTTTGAACTCATAACACACCTGCATTATAATATTGAAATATTCATTACATGAATAGGTATGTATATTATGGTTGGTTATTGTCAATAAAATCGAAATCATAATAATAATTGAATCAGTATATCGATACGATTGTGAATGCCAATTATAAACCGCTGTAAATGACGATCTTGCAGAAATTACATCCTGTGGAACAAAAAACGTAGTTGAATTCAACGCCCCCAAAACTCATGCTCGTATTTTTCCCAGAAAGACGGAACTCAGTATATCCGATATAACAAGGTCTGATGCCATCACTTCCACCAATACTACTAAATTTATGCTCGGTATTTCTATCAACAATATTTTTCACGGGAGCTGCTTCACAAAAATTTGATTTCATTCTACGCGAAAATCTATTCCACACCTCAATAGTTTCTCACCATGCCCACCTTCTTTGAATTCCCATCATGATGAGGGTGGGCATGGTGGGAATTGGGCATCGTGGGAATATAGAAGAAGTGGGCATGGTGGGAATTGGGTATTGTGAGAATGTATTTGAAGTGGGTATGGTGGGAATAGAACTTCGTAGGAATGAAAGAAAAGTGGGCATGGTGGGAATTGGGCATCGAGGGAATGTATAAATAGTGGGCATGGTAGGAATTGAACATCCTGAAAATTCATGAGAAGTGGGCATAGTGGAAATTGAGCATTGTGGAAATGTATGGAGAGTGGACATGGTATGAATCCAAAGAAGGTGGGCATAGTGGCAATTTGGCATCGTGGGTATCTATGAAAAGTGGGCACGGTGAGAGTCTTGTGTTTTCTGAATTTTTCTCTTGACCTGGCATCGTAGCGCTCTTCCGAAATCTTCGTAATCGTCGACATGAAAGTGGGTATGGTGGGAATTGGGAATCGTGAGAATTGGGCATCGCGCTACGCATTCATAACACTTTGGAGATCAAACGATTTCCAATTGGAATGCAGTGTTCAAATGATTCGTTCTTTATGTTAAAGAACTAATTATCAAATATTATCAAAGTTTCACATTAACGAAATTCTTTTTTTTTTAATTTTCGAGCCAATATCTCAAAATGGTTTTCCAATTTCTGAGGTTCCCTATATACAGGATGTGATGTCTTTCGATATCCTGATTTTCCATGAATTTCTGCGGATTCAAAAAAGTTCAGTTGCCTCTCAATCCATACTTCACCTCATACTTCAAGAGCAGCAGAACTTTCAACAACAAATTGAGCGGTTTTTGGATATTGTATGGGATTTCATCGAATCTTATTAATGCTGCTACAATAATGTGTTTGTGAAATTATCCAACAGGCATATAAATGGATTGCTCCTGTCAATATCTGGGAACAATTCAATAATTTGTCAAATTATTGGGTGAACTATTGAAAAAACAGTGATTTTCAGACATTTCTGAGTTGGTATGAAATCAAGTCACCTTGTACAAGTTCCTTTCATCACTTGGAGAAAATGCTCGTGAAAAAATGATTCTGAGCAAGTGATTTCAACACTCAATATCACATTCAATTATAAATGATATGCCACACTCATGACAACAACTATTATATGTGAAAACTTCACAAGGGATGAGATTTTCACAAAATTCTAAGGATCGATTGTGAAGGTTCTACATTTGCTATGGATTTTCATCAAGTAACGGCCGAGTCAATTCAAGAAAAAAATAGAAACAGCTATAATTATCCTACTACAATCAGTATACTCATTTCTGGTTACAATAAATCTAGAAAGTAATAAATGTTATCGCCTGAACTTGCTTGAATCCGCAGAAGAGCACGAGAAATAAGAGAATGAAAATATATCGTTAATTCACATCGTGTATAAGGAAGGTCAGAAATTCGAAAACCACTTCGAGATATTGACAAAACATTTTCGATTATGTAACACTATTTTTCACCTCTTGGTTTTTCGAAACTGAAGAACTTTCATAAGTTCTGAATATTGGAAATAACATTTTGAAGAACGTACAAAATTAGGGGGCTCTAATGGTTCATTTGGGCACTCTAGATGCTCAATATCCGAGTATCTTTCCACATAGTATCCACACTAATAGGAATTACAAACTTCTCAATTGTCAGAGAACGAGCAATGAATATCCATCTGAATCAAACTCCAGTGATATCATACTCAGATAGTTTCTACTCATGAGGAATGATCTTCATTCAATAAAATTTTTCCGTTGGTAGACATCCCGAATGGACAAGATGAGAAGTGCTCTAGGAAAGTGTTTCTCTCAATTTGCGCCACATCATCGAAGAGTCAATCGATCCTCAGCGCCCCTACTCTCTCGAGATACCTGATTGTCAGGCTGAAATTGCTTTGCCATTCAATTCCTAAGAACTTTCTGATCAATAAGCACCCTCGCAATCATTATAATTCGGTTTTTCATGCACACCACATCCTGAAGTGTTTCGCGGTAGACTCGCTCGGCTCGAAACGAACAGTCAGGAAGAACGATATTTTACGCTCTCTCCCCTCTTTCTCACTGAGAGAAAACTTGAGTTATCATAACTGAAAATCTGATAACCGTTATTACGATATCTGCAATGAATAGAGGACAGATGTGTTCATTTGCTACCATAGATGAAGTGAATTTTCAGGTGGCTTGTAGCTAAGGCAGCATATTAAATTCGCAAACTTTTATAAACACCGCTTCTCAATAAACTAATCCACTCAACAGTGGTTATTGGACTATCGTCATAAAACAGCCTGTTTTTATTACTGGCACAACCATCTTGAGGTAACGCAGTTATTCGTCTCCAGTGTTGCCAACCGTAGCGGAATTCCGCTACGCATGGCAGGATTTGCCCTCAAGAGCGGCGGCGGAGCAAAATGACAGTATTACGTAGCAGAATTTAATCTCCAATCTCTTAGGTTTGTGTATGTGGTCAGAATTCTAAAAAAGATTTGTAATCGTAACTATTATGAGATCTGAGCTGTCGTGAAGCCAGCGACATCTATATAATAACAGTTTGAGCTTCCGTTTTGAACGGGGAATTGGTACAGTGTCGTGCCAGGACTGAAAAGCAGTTGTGTTAGGTATGGGTAGAGGGCTCTTGTACGCTGAACAATATTGACGATTTCTTGGGGGTTCCCCAAATCTTCTTAATAATTGGAAACAAAACAAATCAACGTGTTTCCTCTTTCTTTTTTCATGTTGTACTAGATAACGTTTTGGTGGGAGTGTACAGTATATGAAAAGGTATGTGAATGATTGATATATATACATGCAGCCAAGCAGCAAACATATATCTGGATCGTGGATCTACACAATAAGACATTACAAAATCCACACTCATTCCAGAGACGCGAAATGTCTGATTCTGATTTGGAAAAAAGCGGATTATCCACTCCGGAAGCGAAAAGATTGATGAGGCACGAATTGGCCAGAGATGAAGGACAGAAAAGCCGAGAACAACTTCTTTCCAAAAAGTGGATGGGAGAAGAGATTCTCAAGCGTTGGCTACAACCAACTGAAGATCCAGGTAGAGCCGAGTGTGATGCATGTCAGTTGAATTGAGGAACCAAAAGGAGTGATTTGTTGAACCATGGGAAAAGCCAGAGACATTTGAAAAATATGAATTTACTGAAAGGAACCAGACCACTTACTGATTTTCAGTCTCCCAAACAAGACAAAAGTCAAGTCATAGCAGATATAAGATTCACTTTGTTGACTGCATGTCATAATTTAAGTTTCAATTCTATCGACCATGTAACTGAAACTTGTAAATTAAGTTTTGGAGATTCGAGGATTGCAAAAAATATGCAATTGAGGCGTAAAAAAACAACTAGTATTTCAAAAGAAGTACTTTCACCTCCAATTAGAGAAGCATTGGGTTGTGAACTGAAAGTCAATAGTTTTCTTTTTCTTGTAGATGAAAGTACAGACATCAGCAATTGTCGGTACCTGTGCATTCTGGTAAGATACATTTATGAAAATAGAATCAAAACAGAATTATTAGACTTGATTTTCATCAAGGCTGATGGGGGGACTGCAGAAGGTCTTCATTCCCTGTTTAAAATATTTCTGACTGATTCAAATCTAAGCGTGAACAATATTGTGGGTTATTGCTCTGATAATGCCAGTGTTTTGATGGGGAACAGATAATCATTTGAGACTTACCTCTCAAAAGAAAATCCCCATATTTTCATGAATGGATATGTATGTCATTCGGCTCATTTAATTGCTGCTGCCGCTAGCCAAGAATTGCCAAGTAATATAGGAACATTATTGCAAAATATCTCGAATTATTTTTCGAGAAGTCCAAAGAGACAGTCAGTGTTGGAAGAATTTCTACAATTTATGCGGGCAGCACAACTTATAATTTCAAGCCCCAGCAAAACCAGATGGCTGGCGTTATCAAATTGTGTTGAAGGACTGATTGATCAGTGGGACGTTCTCTTAGATGTTTTTCGATTAGCTGCCTTTGAAGATAAAAATCAAGTGTGTAATATGATATTAAATGAAATGCAAAATCTGTACGTCTAAGCATATCTTTCATTTTTAAAACACATTCCTCCGAGTTTTAATTCATTCAATGCTATGTTTCAATCTTCCGAAATTCTTGTAGATAGAATGTATGTAGAAAGTAGGAAATTTGTGAAGATAATATGTGTAAATTTTGTCAAACCCTCATATTATACAAGTGAGGTTGAGCTTGATAGATTGAATGTATTCAATCCAAATGTGTTGCTCTCTCTGGAGGAAATTGATGTGGGTCCGAATACCATGAATCTACTCAAAGACTGTAGCAAAGCTGATAACGATCAATTCAAACTTAAATGCTTGAAATTTCATCAAAATGCCGTTGCCCAAGCATTCAAAAGATTACCTACTGAAGATACCTATTATAAAAATGTTTCATTTGTGCAACCACAAAATGATCTGAATGTAAAAGTAAAACATGATGAAATTGAAATTTTAAAATGGAACCGACCCAGTGAAAGCCATAACTGAATACAATAATCTTAAGGTACATTTTTCTGAAGAAGAAAAACAAAGTCTATCATGTGATGATGATGTGATTGAGTTCTGGACCACATTGTTGAATATAAAAAATTTCAATGATGAGCATATATTTAGTTCTTGGGGATATTTTCATTGACAGAAAATTCCAAAACTTTGCCGTTCTATAGACGAACGAGTTCTGGTATAATGTTAGTAAATGAACTATACCGATTCTAGACACTTTCTAATACTTCATGTTGATCTCCATAAAAAATTTGAGCTCAAAAGTATCAGAAATGGCTCTTTCAAGGTCATTCGTCTCCGACGAGCGAGCTAACCGCAAGCTGCTGATAAAAACGATTCCGGCTTCGACGAGCCAGCTATCAGCAGGCTGCTGATAAAAACAGCAATTATACAATCACAATAACAAGATAAAGTACAGGGTGGATCAGAAAACCTCGCTGAATGAAAATATACAAGGTGTCTCATGATTAACATATTACATTCATAGTAGATTACAGCCAACGTATGACGTATGACAGATAACATATGATCAATGACACGTGATATTCCGGTACTCCTCGAAAGCAGGCACACAGGTCGTCAAAAAGTCTACCAGTTCAGAATGACGCTAAAATGATGATACGTATGATCTTTGACAGATGACTCATACCACCTGATGCGCTCGTCAATAGCAGACAGTCAGGGTTGACCTAACCTACGAATATTAACCAAAATGGCTATCAATTCAAAATGACACTTAACTGACGATACGTATGATGTTTGACAGATGACGTATACCACGTGACCTTCCAGTGCTTGTCGGCAGAAACACTCAGAGTCGAGACAACCTACGAATTTTAATCAAAATGGCTATTGAAACAAAATGGCAATTGATTCAAAATAGCGCTCAACAGATATCGCGGAACTTTTGGCCTATGGTTCATTGTTCCACCGAAAGCGAACGCCTATATTCAGTACACAAGATGTATACTACATAAACTTTCAGTACTACTAACCTCGTCAGAAGCAAACGAGATACATCATTCAAACATATTAGACAGGCAACGTATGACAGATGACGCGCTGACTGTTGATTCCGATCAATATACAGGGCAACAATGAAAAAATATACAGAGAAACTCGCTGCAAAAACTGCCTACTCAAGGCATGACCAGCAAACATATGTTAGACAAATATGTCAAACAACTCTCAACCAAAACACGTGAAAGTGCTCTGTGCTTCACCAAAAACTCATATTAAAATATTTCAGTATTTCACCATAGGAATTATTCTTGTTGGTTCGTGAAATATGTCAAACAGTTCTCTACCAAAACTAGCATTGTAAGGATTAGAGGCACTTGGGGTTAGCAACGTGAGGGATGTTTAGTGCGATGGAGCGATCCGCCAGAAGCCATATTTTGCGAAATGAGGATCATCTTTCGGGTGATCTACTATATCATGAAAGCATACTCGATCAGAACTACAAAAATTTTGTTACATGAAAATCTCATATATTGTAGGCCAATTCTCATCAATATCTTGCGATGTTCCTCATAAGGAACACCAGTCTCGCGACCTGATAGATCGTGAAACGGATACCTAGTCATAACTGCAGAAATATATCTTTCATCTATACGAGATTTTTTTGGAATGAGTATATTCATAGATTCAACGCATCAATACATAGTTTTCTGATATCAGATATTTTGTTATTCTTTTGATTAACTCAAAATTTCATCCCAGGAAATTCAACAAAAACAGGAAGAAATCATGTTGGCTCCCTGAAAACAATCTAAATGATTGATTTTTTCCAGTTTCTGTTCGATTTTCGGGATGAAATTCATTCATTCAATTCAGATAAAAAAATTTTATATAGCATGAGAATCTTGGAAACGGGAGGAGATACGAATTAAGTTGAATGGAAAGAAGTTGCACATCCAGAGGTTCGTACCGACTGCTTTCGAAAATTTTCAAAACTGTTTTTAGTTTCCAAGTCTATCGAAAAAATTGAATTTTTGGAAGAAAAAAAAATTATTTTCAGAGATACAAACAAACTAAAGATACGCCCTCATACAACTCTGATTATATTGATTTTTTTACTGGATTTCCGTATCAGCATAACCATCAAGAACTATTGTTTTTTGAATACGGCCCTGATTATGTGTTCACACATTCTGAACGTTTTTCCATTATGAATCCAACCAAGTATTATACAAGGTGGTTCGAATGAGTGTCGTCCTAGTTTAAGTCATCATCAATGACTTTTAGAATTATATGATTATGAAATGAGGCGAACTGATACTTTTTCATATTTTGAAATTGGGAGAATCATTGATGGTGACTCAATGAACTAGGTCGAAAGAATTCCGGTTGAACATGGAGAATCTCTGAACACATAATCAGGACCGTATTCGAGAATAAAAGTCGATGATGGTTCTACGAATACGAAAAGTCGGATAAAGAAATCAATATAACCACGTTGAATCTCATGTGAAGCTGCTTTGGAGGAAGATTCTCATTACCTTCATCTGTGATGATAATGTAGAAAACTAATAATTCATTATACAAGGAAAAGAAGTTGTAGATTTCAACTCCAGGCTATGTTGGCAGACAGGAAGCTTGAACTGAAATCTAATATTCTTCCCGAGTATAATACATTATTTTCTCTGTGACAGAAAAATAACGAATGCATATTGGAGAGAAACTACATTATATTGGAATCAGAAACTCATCAACGGTGAATCTGAAGTTTTCAACAGAAATAACACCTGCGTTGCAGGCATCCTTATGATTATTCAGAAGAAATCAGATATCTGTTCGTCTAGTTCTGTAATTTGATTCGAAACAATTGCGAATTCTGTGATTGTTCGATAATGGGAGATAAAAAGACTCCCAGTTCTTTTTTTGGGACTGTGTTATTGGATTATTCAGTGGAACTATCGGACAACAATAGTCATCAACAGTGTATTTATTTGTGATATGTATGAGGGAAAGAAGTACCCATTTTTCCTGTGAGATGAAAGTAGTTTATGCAAAGTGACATTCCATCAACTGTCAACAGAGATGGAATATCAAACTTATTCTGCGTTGCAGGAAAAATACATCTCCGAAAAATTCACTATTTCCGATCCAACCGGAAAATCAAAGGTTGTTCTGAGGATTTCTGAAGGTCATCAGTATGTATCCCGGAATGAGCAGCTTCCTATGTATCAAACCGAATTCACAGTATAGTGTAAATTCAACTATGGTGTAAGACTTCATTGTCAAAGAATACTCTCGATGGTCATTGCTAGATGGTCAAGAGTCCGCTAATTTTCAGAGGCTCACAACTTAGTTCCTGAGATGAAAATTCAGGTTTCACTGGATATATTCGTAGAATTTTGAGTACACTTTTGTTTTCAATCATTTAATCACAGTATTCCTATCTCCTTTGAAATGCATGTCGAGCAGCATAAATCATGCATGCCCCTTTTCTGCAAACAGAATGATCCTTACAATATCCATTTTATATCCTGGCGACATTATTGTGTCTCTTTCACGAGGGTGAAGACAACTTTGGTAGTAAAATA